CACTCGGTTCGGCCAATGAGGCCTCGTGGAAAGTATGGTGCACTGAGATTCTGACTTCGGAGAATGCCAAGTTTGAACGATTTCATGCCGGTAAATATTACCCATATGATCTCAAGGAAGGGGAAGAGCCTTGAAAAAACTGTTATACGGACGCCTAGGCAAACTAGTTTGTACACGGATGGAAGCTGCAAAATTCACAGATAAAAAAGTGAGTGTTAGACTAAAATAGCTATGAAGCTTAACTTACTTCAGAAACATAGGGCAACATATCCGCATACTTCAAATTGTCCTTGTCGACTATTATGAATAAAGTCTTCGAACGCATGGCTGACCAGGCTGAAAAAAGCGAAAGCAGTCAACATTGAAAAGAATAGGTTTTGCGGACCGAACGGTGGGTATGCATTCTTATCCATCCCAGAAATTAATTCAAATACAGGGCTGGAGACCGAAGATGTAATCATTTATTGACAAAAAATAAAAAGGAGCACGACTCTCAGTCTTTTTTGCTGGGTATTCTTATTGAAACTGACAAGGGCTGATTTGGTCGCCATTCGTCTTGGATGGATGAAAGTGGTCTGACCGTTTTTTTTTTGTTTTCCTATATCATAAGGCGATTCGAATATACATGAATTATCCGTGAAATATACAAATTAATGTGCACTGTGACAATGAATAATGGGATAACTACTAACCTGCTACTAAGAAACTTGAGGCATAAGTCATGGATGGTTTATCGTCTCCTATTTTCAACGTCAACCTGTAGGTCATTCTCTGGTTTTCATCAATATACTGCTGCTAAATGAGAGTCTCAAGGCATTTTCACACAGTATCACTCTAAAATTCTTAAATTTCGTACATATAGAAAGACAAACGTGAGCTAACATCCTGAAGGAGAGTCGCTTTAAGGCGAACTCCTCAGCAGGATATCCAAATTCCGGTCAGGGTCTACGCAGACGAAGTAAAGCCCTCACAGAAAGTGCCAGATATGACGAAAATCAGCTTCGCCAGTGTAATCAGCGCGTTTTAAGCTTGTGCCAGCATCCCTCACTGGTCGCTCTGGGTTTGGTTGCAAGCCTCAGCTACATACGTGTGGCGCAAGATTTAGAACGACCATGAGTGTAGCCCTATGAACAGTGTAAAAAAACAGTACAGTCGTACTTGGCAGGGAGCAGGGAGAGCAGGACAATGAAGTACATCTTCCTGCGCCAACGAGATTAGAGCGATGGTGGAAAAGTGACTGAAAAGTCCGCAAAAAGGAAGTAACACAATCAAAGAATAGTTGTACAAGGCACGGCTGGATTTCGGTAGGTATGGATAAACGAAAAGGATTCTGTGAAAATTGACAGGTTGAGAAGCGCAGGGAAGCAAGATTCCCAGATCTACATTAGATTCATACCGGCCTGTTTGCAGGCAGCGAGGGCGTCCGAGAGATCTGTCCGGCTGAGAACTCTCGAAGGCCTCCAAGGTCCTAGATAGTCGTCCGGACTGATGATAAGACTTGAATTAGGATATCGTGAGGCCAACTGCCTGAAATACAATGACAGCAGTTTGTGTAGAAGAGGAAAAACAGGTAACAAAATCTGATCTGGACACTGAAACTTTAAAGATGAAGAGTAGGCGCTAATAGGCAAAAAAATTTATAAGAAAAATTTTCCTAAATAGACGAAAGTTCATCAGCCGCAAGCGACGTCGTCCACCGTGTGCCTATCGAAGTCTGCGAAACAACGTAAGGATTGAATAAGAATAAGCCCATAGTGAGGCAGGACTGAGCAGCACTCGCCACCCTCTGTGTCCCGATGGCAAGAGAAAGTCCACACAAACAAAAGTGAGTTCGGGAGCAGTAACTAATATAGTTAGATATCTTGTCTACTCATGCGACACAGGAGTTGGTACCCACTCCATATGTAACATGTCAAATTCAGGGCCGCTCAGATGTGACATAGTTGACAATAGTTGCCATAGAGCCCGTGCTTACATGTACTTATTGCAGTCTCACTGACTCCCGAGAAGAACCATCTCATCCCGTCAGCTGACAGAGTTTCAAACCATGACCAGTAGTGCACCGGGATAGGGTCCAGAGCGTCTGATTTACAGAATTAACGAATCCGTGGATAGTGTGTGAGTATGGATGACCCAGCAAGGACCTCACTACCTTGCGTCATGGCACAGTGGATTCGGCGCAATCACTGATACGGTGAAACAACCTGTCTACGCGGGTCACGCATAGCCTGATTCTCGCTTCGTGTGCAAGGTCATACCAAATGAAATGCTTCACACTTCAGCGAGGTGAGCACGTTCTGATATCCGACGTTTCACGCGTCATTCCGGTGCAGACACAGTGGATCCTGTGCATCCTCCAAAGTGAATAATATTGTGTTACGGAGAGGTGTCGTGCACGCGAATACTGCGGAGTAGTTTCGTGCGCAGCTTAGGGGCGTTCGTGTGTCTGTGTGTAACCCCCCCCCCCACCACCACCACAACAGGCTGCTCTGCAAATGCGCTAGCCGGAGACGGGGTCAGACGGGCTCGCGGCACGCGGTAATCGGGGCAATACAGAGTCCGAACGAGGTCACAACTGCTGCCAAAGATGTGTGCGGAGGCATGTCTTAAAGATACGCTTTAGCACAGCGTCAACCATTGCGTCAGTTGGTTGACCGGCATGGACAGACAACTGCTGTATGGGAGAGGGGGAAGACAGGGGGTCGATACAGGGCACTCCATCACCACGGCAGCACGTCAGCGCGTTCCTCACTGTAATGACGCACAGACGCTTGAGTGTAACACGACGCGCAAGTAGTCGTGGCCTGAAAGGTTATCAACTAAAGGGATAGCAAGGTCCTTGATTGAACTGAAACCCGTGTGTGCATCTCCGCGCACGGTAGTGCTGACTTCGGTGGCCAGATGGATTTTCGCATCGGCATCGTCGACACCAAGCTCCCCCTGGTACGCCACAGGAGGCCACAAGCTCATGGCAATTTCGTAGGCTGTCCCAGGCCAACTCGGATCGCTCTCCAATTAAACAAAGGCGTGGCTCATAGTGCAGTTCGGCGGCCGTCTGAGACAACTGAGCAGCCCTATTTAGGGATAGCACTGCTCACCCCCGCAAGGGGGAAGGGACTAGAAAAAGTGCTGGGAAACCACGCCGTCTGCAGGCTGATCGTGGTCACAGACGCAAAGCACACGGTCGAAGAAATCAAAATCGAAACAATACAAACTCTCTCTCTCTCTTTCTCCTCGTCCTCCTCCCCCGCCGCCCTACTTGCCAGACTGGTGGGGTGAGTCCGCTCCTCCTGGCGGCTCGGGATGTTCGTTCCCATTTAGACAATCTGAGGGGCAACCGACCAGAATGGAGAACGGCGGCAATGGCTTGTGGACACCGCTGCACTCGGCGAGACCCGGCTCTCGAAGCAAAGCCAATTGGAGGAGGTGGGTGCCGGCACACCTTCTTCTGGAGCGGCCGCCCAGAGCAGGGCGACGGGACGCGGACGTCGCCTTTGCCATCCGGAATGACATCGTGGGATGACTGTCCTGTCTGTCGCAGGGTATCAACGATCGCCTGATGAGTCTCCACCTGCCTCTCAAGGGAGGCAAATTCGCCAACATCGTCAGCGTCTACGGCCCGCCGATGACCAGCCCCGACGAGGCAAGGAACAAAGCCTACGAGGACCTGTACGAGCTCTTTACGACCGTGCCGAAGGCGGAATAGTTGATTGTCCTCAGCGACATTAACGTCCGCATCGGTACAGACCATGCTGCCTGGAGAGGAGTGCTGGGTGCCCATGGTCTCAATGGCTTCAACGATAATGGCCTGCTCATGTTTCGAACCTGCGCAGAACGACTCATCTTGACCAGTAGCTTCTTCCGCATCCCGATGCGAGGGAAGGCCACCTGGATGCACCTTCGATCGCGACATTGGCACTTGCTGGACTTTGTCCCTTCCCGGAGGCGAGACCAGTAGGACGTGCTGGTGACAGGCGATTGCGGATGCTGACGGGTGGAGCGACCATCGCCTCGTCATCTCCGAGATGCGGAATCGTCTACAGTTACTCAGGAGACCTCAAGATAAGCGATCCCCAAGTAAGCCGAATATTGTTCTGGTGTCTTTGCCTGCTAACCATCCTCATTTCAGCAATGAGTTAGCTCAACGGCTAGCCAAACTTCCAGTCGCCGCCGTCGCCGCCATCGAGGAGAATGCCTCCGTTGAGAACGATTGTGCCAACAGCAGGACAGTCCAGTCGACGGCCCTGGCTGTCCTCGGTCGCCAACACCAGGACTGGTTTGACTACAACAACGCCGCCATCAGCAACCTGCCCGCCGAGGAGAACCGCCTGCACACTGTCTACGTCGACCACCCACTGACGACAACAAAGCAGCCCTGTGCAACAGCGGCTGCGCGAGATGCAAGACACCTGCACAGCTCGTGAAGCCGAGGAGATCCAAGGGTACGTACACCGCAACGAATGGAAGAACTCCTCTCCGATCAAAGAGGTCTACGGTCCGCGAACTAAAGGTACTGCACCTCTTCTCAACGCCGACGGCAGTACCCTGCTCGCCGCGAAGACACAAACCCTACAACTATGGGCCGAGCATTTCAGAGGCGTCCTCAACCGCCCCTCCACTCTCTCCGACGCAGCCATTGCCCGTCTGCCTCAAGTGGGGACCAATGCGGACCTCGACTTACCACCCTCTCTCCACGAAACCATCAAGACCGTGCAGTAGCTCTCCAGCGGGAAAGCATCCGGATGGGACGCGATCCCTGCTGAGATCTACATGCACGGTGACCTCAAGTTCATAAACCATCCGACGGCACTCTTTCAGGAGAAATGGCATCATGGAGAAGTCCTCCAGGATTTCAAGGACGCCACAATTGTGCATCTCTACAAGCGGAAAGGAAACCGCCAAATCTGCGATAACCACCGAGGCAATTCCCTGCTGAACATAGCTGGGAAGATCATTGCCTGCATCCTTCTCAACCGCTTGAATAATCACCTGGAACAGGGTAATCTGCCGAAAAGCCAGTGCGGCTTCTGCCGTCATCGTGGGACCACGGATATGGTCGTCACCGTCCGTCAGCTGCAGGAGAAGTGTCAGGAGATGTGGGCCCACCTCTACTCTACCTTCGTGGATATGACGAGGGCCTTCGATACGGTGAATCGCGAAGGACTGTGGAAAACCATGCAGAAATTTAGCAGTCCCGGAGGATTCACTCAGATAGTGCGTCAGCTCCATGATGGCATGATGGCGCGCGTCAAGGACGATGGAGCAGGGATACGTCCTCGCGCCCACAGTCTTCAGTCTTATGTTCTCTGCTATGCTGATGGACGCCTATCGTGACGAACGCTCCGACATCCGCATCGCCTACAGGACGGACGGCCACCTCCTCAACTACAGGTGGATGCACTTCCAGTCACGTATATCCACAATCACTGGCTACGAACTCCCCTTCGCCGACGACTGTCCCCTTAACACCTCCACGAAAGGAGGCATGCAAAGGAGCATGGACCTTTTAGCCGTCGTCCGCGAGAACTTCGGCCTGATCATAAACACGGAGAAAACGGTCGTCATGCACCAACCGCCACGCAACACTGCCCACAATGCGCCGCAAGTCAGCGTGGACGGAAACCACCTGCAAGTGGTGAACAATTTCACATATTTGGGCAGCACCCTCTACCGCAGCAACAGAAGCGACGATTAAGCGGACTGCCGGATTTCCAAGGCCAGTCAAGCCTTCGGTTGTCTTCAAAGCACAGTTTGGAATCGTCACGGTCTGCAGCTCAGCACAAAGCTGAAGAAATACACGGCCGTCATCCTGCCGACGCTGCTATATGGAGCAGAGACCTGGACGATGTAAATGGAGCAGGCATGCAGACTCAACCACTTGCACCTCAGTTGTTTTCGTCGTACGCTGAAGCTAAGGCGACAGGACCGGATTCCAGGCACGAACGTAGTGGAACGGGCGGAAATCCTTAGCATCTACACTATGCTGAGACAGCGGCAACTGCGTTGAAGCGGCCACCTCGTGGGGATGGACAACGAGAGGCTACCCAAAAGACTCTTCCATGGAGCTGTCGTCACGGGTTCCCGCCGCCAAGGAGGTCAAATCCGTCGATACAAGGACACTCTGAAGACCTTGAAGCGTCTGTAGATCAATCCGGCCAACTGGAAAAACCTCGCTCGGTACCGACCGACATGGAGGACGATGAAGACCAGCGGAGCGATCTACGAGGCAAACCGCATCGCCACCGGGAAAGCCGTACGAGAAGCATGCAAATCTCAGCTGTGCCGACCTCACAAGGCAAACGCACAACCGCCCTCCCCCCAAGTGTCCACGGTGTCAGCAGACATTCCGGGCGCCAACTGGACTTGTTCGACACCTCCGGACCAACTGCAACACCCGGACTGAATCAACTGTCGTCTCCCCATCCACCTCTCCCTCGCCTCCTACGCCATCAACTAACTCTGACCGCTCTCTTGAACCACCACTACCACCACCGCCGCCGCTCCCACCACCTCAACGCCTGCCGCTGCCATGCCCATCAACAATACACACACTGCTGACACACCAAACAAACACCAGCACCGCCGCCGTCAACACCAGTGATGGGGACCCGATCTATACCCGTCCTCATTGCGATAGCACCTTCACCTCATACATCGGCTTGATAGGCCACTTGCGAATCCATCGCACAGACTGGTGAACCAGTGCCTGGAGCACCAATCTGCACTCGCACCTTCATGCACCGCATGGGCCTCTTGGGCCACATGCGCGACCACGAAAACTTGCGGTAGACAGCTGCCGGCTGCGCCACACCATCACATCCTCCCTCAGCAGCATCTCATCGCACATCAAAATCACCCACTGCAAGTATTCAACTGCCACCTCCCAAGCAAGTGGGATGTGTGCGTCTCGGCTTCTTCTCCACGTGGCTCCCCTGCTGTATGTGTGATCGGAGTCTGAGACACCGTGTTGAGCACTGTGGCTCGGAAGGCAACCCACTGACGCCCCAGCTCAGTCCAGGCAGTCTGCCCAGTTCAGTGTGTGTTTGTGTGGAGTGGCGGACTGCTAGGCCGAGAGCCAGACTGTCCCAGCCCCTTCCCAAGTGATCTGTGACGCTCTCATGCATTTGAGAAGTGTTTGTGTGTATGTGTGCTATATTGATAGCGCCTTTCAGTCGACGACTGTTTGATTATCTAACCTTGAAGGGTGACAATCCAGGCTAAATGCAGGGCCACGTGTCGCCCTTCTAGGTCAAAAGGGTCTGAAAACCGCGTGCTATGCCAGTATCAGGAAACCATGGCCCTCGCTGCCTGGTATGCGTTGGCGGTTCCCCGACACCTGGTTCCCTGCCGGTAGATGCGCTCCAGCTGGGTATATAGGTGGTGGGCATGGCTGCCCAGTCATCCTGGTCCTTCTGACACCTGTTGGGGTGCTGTTGCTGTTGGGTGAAAAGTCCTGGTCAAGTGTATGCTGTGGAGCAGGGGGTGTGGTGGCACGCCTAGGTGCGGGTCCGGCCGCGACAGCTACCTGCGCCCCCCCCCGCCTCCGGTCGTCTTGACTCTGTCTTGATGCCGGGTCCGGGTGAGGAGTGGGGAAGAGAGAGTGTGGTAGATGCTTCGCAAGTATGTGCCCACTATAAACTAATTCACGCGTAAGTCACCGTGTCTGCTGCATCTTGCTGTGTAGCACACGATGGGCATAGTCGGAATCGACAGTCAAACTGTCGTGTGCGTGTGTGTGTGTGCCCCCCCAAACGGGCCAAGTGGTAGATGCGTTGAACCAACACGGGGACCATATCAGATTCTGGCAGGCGTTATCGAACTGCGCACCATAAAAAATGCCAACATTCCGATTGTGCGTTAGCAGACCCCGATTCAGGCAGACGTCGCGCACACTGGGATCCTTGCCGATCCGCATTGTCATTGTTGGTTAAAAAAACCTGGTCATTTCTTGTGTGGAGAGGTGTGGAGGTGTGGAGAGGAGCGCCAAGGTGCGGGCTCGACTGTACCATCCACCGGCGCCCTCCCCTGCCTTCGGTCTTTTCGACTCTGTCTTGACACGGGGCCCATATGGGGGGGGGGAGGAAGAGGAGGAGAGAGTGCGGTAAATGAAGTGCAAGTCCACTACCACTAAAAACTAATTCATGCACAAGTCACCGTTCCTACTCTCACCCTGATGTGGAGCACACGGTGGACATCGTCGTAATCGATGGTCGAATTGTCGTGTGGTAGGCGCAGACTGGCGGTAATACCCTGTCTGCTACCGCGCATGAGCTCGCTTCCGCAAGTCTAGACAGCCTTATCATCAGAGCAGGGTGGATGAAGAATCAAAGAGCACAGTAGATGCTGCGCATATCTGCCTAAAAAGAAACAAGTCCATATGCAGGGCGCCAGCGCTGTGCACATTCCGTGAGACATTCAGTAGACATAATCGCACGCGACGGGCAAGGGGTCTCGATGGATTTTGAATTGTGTTACTTCACTGAGAAGATTAATGCAAGAACTTATGGCCCAATAGGTCCGTGTGATGACAAATGTCCCTGGGACGCTGCAGGCAAGTTAGACAAATTTGATCAGTGCATGCTGAGGTCCCTGGTACTGGTTCGGCGGTTTCCTGCGATGCATTTGCAAGCGGGGTACCAGGCGATGTCTAAATAGGAAGTGCAACCGCAACGGTGACTGGCCGGAAATGCGTTCGCATTGCTGGTGGGAGGGGTGTTGGTGGTAACGGAAGGCAGAATTGTCCTCATTGGTGATGATTCTGAGGGTGATTTGTGATGTGGACCGCTGGTTGGCCATGTTGATATTGCACTGGCCCTGGAAACGCCCAATGAGTCCAATCCGTGACCTGAATGTCCGTTGACAATGTGAACACGTTGAAATGGATTCCATATTTCACCGGTGGTCCGCAGCACTTGAATGTTGCGAGCCTCTCGCTCTGACAGGGCAGTCGACATATGCTTGACGCCGAAGGTAGCTGCTCCAATTCCTACGGCTATGCTCCACGCCTACCGACTACCTGTGAGGTCCTCCAATTTTCTTGGATTAGCATGCAGGAGTAGGAATGAACTCCTGACAGACATTCAGCATGCTGAGACATACAGTTATAAATAACCGCGATGTCCTCCTCAATACGATATTTGTGATCGAAAGGAGTGCTTCCCTGACTGCGCTCCTGGAGGAGTCAGAGAGGTGGACAACGCACAAAAGTCAAACAAGAAAACTAAGCCATTATCGCCTCAGATGCCTCCATATAACACTGAAGGTGACGGTCCAGGAAAGGCCCCCAGACACCGGCGTCCTCAGTATCGACGTCAAACTAAGGCAGATGCAAATGCGAAGGTGTGATCACGTCGTGAGAATGGCCAGCGAACACCTGTTCAAGCAATTATTTGATGACGACTTCGCTACGAATGCTCGCAGATAAGGTGGAAAAGAGCAGAGTTACAAGGACACTCTGAGAAGAGACTTCACGGGGACCGAGTTTTCAAGTCAAATTCTGATCGGTCTTTCGCAATAAATGTCAACCCGATTAACAGACTGAGTCTAGTGACGCAAGTAAGGTTAACGCATAAAGGGAAACGGGGAGTAGAATGAAGAAAATACCGAGGATGTTAGGAACAAACTCGGTAATTCGTGAGCAAAAGTGAAATATTCCTGACCCAGAGTCCCGACAGAATAACCGCCTGAAACCCTAGTGGGACGCTTGTCAGGTCGGTTACGCTTGTGCCTGGAGTGATTATTTCTGTCAGTCCACGAGTATTGTTGAATACATGAGTCAGCCGAACTCGAGACCAACGGGTAACACAGTAAGAGAGAAGCGTACCGGGCAGTCTTTGTTTTGCCAACTCCAGGAAGTCCCCTGAGGAGAATGAGCAAACCAGAACAAGGGAGTGCAGGCGAGCCACCCACAGCCAGTTCGTCCATTCTGCGCTCAATCTGCTCAACGCTGGAAGAGACTTTAGTCAGACACAAGGCATTAGTAGTAGTCATCTGTTGGGTATTTTTTCTTCCATGTTTCTTCTGTGGTGTCGACATAGACGAAGACGAAAGAAAGTGTTGGAGGTAGGACAGTTGGTGGAAATAAGCCTGTCGCCGGTCTAGAATAGGAGTCGAGCAAACCGGGGGTTAGATCTAAAAACGTGGGAAGAGCGTTCAACAGTAGCAAAGATTACTTGAAAAAGTTTGGCATAAGATGACTACTTACCCAACACTGGCTGGGCTAATTCTCAATTTCGGTAAATTAGCTCAGTCTGAACTTGAGCGGCGAAATCAAATTCAGAGAAAGATCGATAAAATATTCGTGGTGATGTGGGTATGTCTGAAATGCCTGTGGGTCAGACTTATGATAGTTCGACCGTCGCATCCGAGGATGTCCACCGTGTGCTCCACATCAAGGAGAGAACAGGCACGGTAACTTATGGGTGAATTAGTTTGGTGAGAGCAGACTTGTGAAGCACCCATCGCACCCTCCCCTCCCCCATCTGAGCCCCGTGTCAAGACGAAGTCATGAAGACCGGAGGCGAGGAGGGTACAGGCGGATGACGCGCCGACCCCGCACCTTGGCGCTCCACTCCATGATCACTGGTCCACAACAAACACTTCACCAGGATATTGATCATCAACGACAACAGAAAGGACGTGGATGACTGGGAAACTAATGACACGACCCGTACACTCGGCGGCAGAGCAAGCGCA